AGACTCATCGTGGATAAGATTTGTTCAGATGTCGCGGTCAGATGGGCTCTCACAAGCATCACATATCATGTGCGTCAGAAGGACGTCTCTTTCTGATATCACCATTTCTCATCGCTGTCCTCCTTTGGCATTGAATATCGGAAGTGCGCTCATGCCTGCATTCTACAATGCATGACGTTGTCGGAGGCGCATGTACAGCGGTTCGTACACGCACAGAGAGGACGCGCACTCCCTTTGGACAGAATGCCCGGTGCGCGCAAAGTGGTCAAAGGTGACCTTGAAGATACATGGTGATGACGGCTGCAGCCTCAGCATGAATTCCAGGGTTTAGGCTGTCGGGTTTTGGTTCTTCGGGGGGTAGCATACATGGTTATTATACGTGCATATATCTACCTAATTATATACACACGTCTACACATATAAGGATTATACATAGGGATCATATATATATATATGTTTTATTTCTGTATTTATTTATGTGTTTCTTTGCTTATGTATTCTTTTATGTGTAAGGAGAATAACGGGGTAGTCTTGGTATGGCTGGCCGAAACCTTATGGAGGGCACCAGTGATGCCCGAAGCCAGACCGTGGACGAAGGGTTTAGGGTTTAGGGTTTGGGGTTTAGGGTTACTCCTTAAACCTTACAATCGAAACGAAGTAAACCTTATAGAGGTGCCCCAAGAGCCTCGAGAGCTTTTTCATTCTAGCGATAGGAGCACACCGTTGCAAGCCCCCACCTCACACAGAGCTGTTGATTACTGCCTGTCCCAAGAACGATCGGTGAATTGCAGATATACACAAGGAGTTGCTGTGATGCCATTTAAGCTCTCTGGTGACTGGAGGCTCAGACTTTGGAGACTTAGGCGGCTCTATGGTTGCAGGACTTCTGGGCTCAGGGTTCGTTTTGTTTCGGGTGGAGGTCGCCAAGAACCCCGAAACACAGCCAAGGAAAGTTGTATCATCTCTTCCTCGAGATGGACCACCTTCTTTCGGAGGCCGCGAAGCCACAGGGGGCCCCCTAAACCATAAAACCCTAAAGCCATAGCCCAGAATCCTTAAAGCCTTTTGCGTGACCATCCCTCGTGACCTTGGATCTTGCTTACTGCAAGTTTGCAAGGACTCTTCTCTTTCGGGGGCTATCGGCCGAAAGGCAATATACCAGACAAGGGTACATCAGCCTTATGTGGACATCCGGGTGGCCGGAGAGCAGGACTTGTAGGGGTGTTGGGCCAAACCTCCGGCACCATTAATCTTCAGGCACCTTTCAGCGCCCAAAAACGACAATCCGACCCCACGACTCATCGGTTTCGGCTGTACTTTGTCTTTCGTTGACAGAGGGCAAGAGGCCGATGTAGCATTCACAATCCTTTTCCATCCTGTGCTTCGGGTTGAGGGCAGAGGAAATACCCTCCTTAGGTGAGCGACCAGGCCCTCTAGATTCTGCCTCAAAGTGGGGATTTAGGGTTTAGGGGTTAGGTACTCTGAGGATCATGCTTCCGAAGGCTTGAAGGTGTGGCAGTGCACTAGAGTTTGCAGTCTGATGTTGAAGGGCAAGGTGCGGGACTTCACGGTTTTATCTGCAGTCGACGCTTCAGAACCCCAAAACACTAAACAAGGCAGTAATAGGTTCTTAGGGGGGTACCTGCCCCCTTGAACCCCACCCTCTCCCCTAATAGCCCTATAAAGGTATGTCAGGGCTGCTACAAGACCCAGCCCAAGCCATCCCAAGGAGGAGTAAAGCGCTTAGGGTTGATGTGGTCAGTTCCCGCCAGTTCCTGCTAGAAATACCCAAAATAACCCTAAACCCTAAGTCCTCAACCCTAAACCCTAAACCCTAAGTCCTAAACCCTAAACCCTGAATTTACATGTATGCTCCACCCGAGGGAGGGACCAACATTTCTGGCCATGCGCAATCTGCTTAAACCCTGAATTAGTCCCTAAACCCTACACCCTACTCCCTAAACCCTAAACTCTACACTGCTCAGGCGCCAGCGAAGAAGAACAGCAAGCATTGGATGGCCAACAACGAGGAGGTGTGCGTTCTGCAGGACAGGCCCTCGGTCGTGGATTTAGGGTTGAGGACTTAGGGTTTAGGGTTTAGGGTTGCGGATTTAGGGTTTAGCGTTTGGGGCTTAGGGCTTAGGACTTAGGGTTTGGGGTTTCGCGTTTCAGCAATTAAACTCGGGGGAGCATTTCGAACCCTTGACCACAAGCCCCGGAATTCCCTCTCCATGCCCTGAGACCTAAGACCTGGGCGCCTTGTAGCACCTTTGCTCCTTTTGGGTGGGGGGGGGGGCTTCGGACCCCCTTGCATTAACCTGCTTAAACCCCCCGAAAAGGGGTGCCCATTTGTTGCTTCCAGGTTCCGGGAGAAACCCGAAACCCTAAACCCTAAACTCCCTAAACCCTGAGGTGCAGCAGCTACCGCCCACGGTCAGCCACGACAGCCCTTTCGGCATCCTGGGGCATCCTTTCGCAGACGAGGGCGCGGGTTTTGCGATTTAGGGTTTCGGGTTTCGGGTTTAGGGTCCCTAGGTTTAGGGTTCACTGGGTGTAGGGTCCTGAGGTTTGGGCTTGGCGGTTTACAGTAGGGCTTAGGGCTTAGGGTTGTTGAGAGCTTGTTTTCTTGGGATTGCTGGGGTTCAGGGCTGTGTTGAGGGTGTAAGGTTCCAGGTCTCTGGCGGAGAGGTGTAAAGGCTTCGGGTGGCACTGAGGGTACTCAGCGCGCCCTGGCAGGCACACGGCCGTTTGGCATGAGCCATCCTGGCCCGTTCCCGGGTGGGATGATCGGCCCGATGTTCGCCTCTCAGTGGATTCGAGTTGAGGGTTTAGGGCATGGGCTGTGGAAGTGGTGGACCTCACCCAGGTCCAGAGAGCCTTACCCCCTGTCTGCTCAGCCTACGACTTGAGAACAAAAGCCAAACAAAACCTCCGTAAGCTGGGAGAGTCGGCTTTGGACGGTGCAGGCCATTCCGGTGGTTCTTCCAGAGGGATTGTTACTTGCGACGCCCAACGACCCCGGAAGACCTGTGCAACTGCGGCCGTTGCCTCCTGTTTAGGGCTTGGTGTCTACCAAGAGTAATACCTTGGACAACCCTTTGGCGATACAAAAAGTAGCTGCTTGCTTGTTCTTCATCGGGAATTAGGGAGTAAGGTTCCTACAATCCCTCTTGAAAGTGTTACACACCTGATGCAAGGTATATAGTTCTCTATTTCCCGATTAAGAACTCTTAAGCCCTAAACCCTTTCAAGGTCAGCTGCCCCTGAAATTGTGCCGAGGATGCTTCCCTTGGGCCCAGCAGCCATGGCTTTGAGGTGGGGCGGCCGAGTAGGGATTCGGTTCCCCTCAAGCCCTGAACCTTGAATCCAAGAAAGCAACGCTGAAACCTGAACGAGCGGAATACCACGCGCTGGGAATCCGTTCTTGCAGAACTGCTAGGAGATCAACCTTGCTTTGGCTTTCTGAATTTCACTGGCATGCAACATGCAGCTGCGTTCATGCGCTCGATCTTCGGCCTTGCCGGCTAATTCGTCAACACAGCAGGCCCGAACGATCAAGACGTTCAGGCTCATTTAGCATCGGCTTTGATATCACCCAAGCCCACAGCCCACCAAGCTTTGGATCCTAAGCGCGGGTCCTGCGGTGCCTTGCCAGGAAAGGTCCGAATGGCGGCCTGTTTCCCCCAGGCACGGGTCACGGGAGTAGGTCCTTTGGATAAGAGCATTCCCAGAAAGATCCCCCCCCACCCATCCACAAAACTGGGCTTTCAGGTTCTGAACAGCGTTTGGGGTTTATTCGTCAGATTGGGGCGTGTGCAAGTGAGGGCTAGGACCGGCTAGGACCCTATTGAAGAGAAGTGAAACAAGTGGGGGACCTTGGGCTTACCTGCCGCGGGATCTCGTGCTGAATCCTAAAGTCCTAAAACCCGAAACCCTAAGCCCCGAAGCCCTGCAGCCTAAACCCTAATGCCCTGAACCTAAAGCGTTCGGGATTATGATATGGAGAGCTTTCGGGATCCCAGAGCAGTTTGGCTTGGGGGTCGCTCTCATTTGGATGTTTGGGCTACCTGTTATATAAGGCCCAAAGAAAACCTTAAGTAAGCCTTGTATGGGCAGGGGGTCTCCCAAATAGGTTCACTAGTTCTGCCCTATTCAGGGCTCAAAGCTCCTAAGCCCGGCGTCCGATGTAAGCACCTGAACCCTGAACCTCGGCTTTAGTGCTCAGGGCAGTGTCATCCACCTGCATTCCTGCCCGTATCCATAACGTTCACGCGACGGATCCTTCTGCACCGAAAAGTTTGGGCCGAAGGAGGCACTGATGATCCATCACAAGGTCTTCCCGTAGCCGGTGCCGAAGTCCTAAACCTTTCTTACTATTTATTAGTAACAGTATTATTAAGATTCTTAGCCTTATCATTCTTGAAATGATTAGTATGAGTAATCTTCTTAGCTTCTCAACCCGAACATGAAAGAAGCTCTTCCTAAACCCGCACATCCTGAACGCCGAAACATTGCGTCCCGCAACCCTAGATCCCGATTGCCGAAGGCTCCCGTCATCCCCACCAAATTAATTACTTAGATTCTGGGCTTCAGGGACGATATAGGGATTATTTATAGTTTATATGTAGGGTGTATTAGTGTACATAGTTCAGTTTATTTCATTGTATTGGCTATATGGGTGGCTGTCAAAGTTATGGTTTGTTTTGGGGTACCCTAAATATGAGGTGGCGTATTATAATGGGGATCCAAAAAGGCACCATCATTTTGACAACCACCCATATCCATTGCTTCATTTATGTACAACATATATAGATTATGTTAGCTATGTTCTTCGTGTCGCAAGGTTTACTGAAGCCGCCCAGCAAGGCAACGGGAGTGGCGATTGCAATGAAGCCCCTTGAATTAGGGTTTCCCAGGGCTTCAGCAGGTTTGCAAGCGCCGTCTTCTGATGTGGGGTTTGGGGCTTTATCAAGGTTCACAACCGGAAGAAATCCTGAATCATGGTGTTTGCAGATTGTTTAGCCCCGTACAGTACGGTCCGCACCCCAGAACACTGAAGATCAAGCTCTTTCTGATTGCCCGCTTGGTCTTCAGTTCGTGTTGTGACCGGTTAGGCGCCTGGAGACCTCAGCTATCCTTGACTAAGGAGATATGCACCCTAAATCCTTGCTCTAGGCCCATAAACTCCTTAAATGAGAAGGCTTCGGGCTTGTGATAATTTTAGGGCTTGCTGGAACTAGGACCTGACTGCTCGGCTCGTACCTTGTGCTACACCTCAGGTTTGCGCTGCAGCTTGACGCCCACCATGACTAGGGTTTAGGGTTCCATTCCGTTTGAGTCAATTGCGGGGTTGCGTCGTGAGAGGTGGACAAGAGTCTAGGGTTGGTTACGGCAGAATTTAATTCACGGCTGGAAGCTGTCGTCCAAGACAAAACATGGGGACGCAGCTAGCAGGTGTTAATGAGTTTCTTGCCCGGACCCATCTATGTAACATGCAACCGCAAAGCCCCATAGCCCTGTGAGCCCTATGATTCCCTGAAGGCCGAAACCGTACCACTCCGCAGGCTGAGCTAAAGAAGGAGGCTGTCCAACGGGAAGAGATGAGTGAGGCCATCCATGGGTGTTCAGGGCTTAGGGTTTAGGGTTTAGGGTTCAGGGCGTAGCGTGTTGAGGGTGTTGCGTTCAAGGATTTAGGGCACAATATGGTTTTTGAATTTAAAGGAGAAGGGCTGGGGGGGTGCACTGAATGGCATCTGTCTGTGTAGGTGGGGTTTGTGGATTCCCGAGCCGGAGGCATCACTCAGGAGGTCGAGATGCGAGTCAGCGTAGTGAGGAGGCAGTCGAAGCCCTCTACCACTCTAAACCTTCAATCCTGAGCCTTAGAGCTTAGAACCCTCTACCCTCTATCCTGAGCCTTAGAGCTTAGAACCCTATACCCTCTATCCTGAGCCTTAGAACCCTAGACCCGAAGCCTTAAAACTAAAAGAAGCCGTGACGCATGGAGGGCCAATAGGTGGTCAGAGCCGGTGGCAGCTAAGCCCTTCCTGGATAGGCGTTGCCTACTGGCTCTTGGGAATTGTGGGAGGTAGGTATCTTCCATCTCCTGCCTTTCGGGTTTAGGGTTCAGGGTTTGGGGTTTCGGGGTTAGGGTTGAGGGTTTCGGGAAAACCTCGTACCCTTGTATTCGGCGGCTGTGTAGGGTACTGCACACCCTAGATCCCTATTAACAACCAGGAAGTTTTTGGGTTGACGCGTTCTCTCTTGTCTTGATGCGCCTCATGGGTTTAGGGTTTGGAGTTCCTAGGGTTCACAGGGTTTCTAGCGTTTCTAGGGTTTTCGGGGTTGCAGAGGGTTTATGGGGTTTGGGGCGAAAGCCTAAAGCTCCTAAACCCTGAGTCGGAATCTATGGCATCCCAACCTTTATGTCAAGCCTCTTCTTCCCTGGAGTTTAGGGTGCAGGGTTTAGGGAGCAGAGGGCATCTAGCTTTGTGATTTAGGTCTTCCAGGGCTTCTAGGGCCTTGGGATTCTTGGGGTTTCAGCTTTGGGGTCATCATGGCTGTCGGGTTGCAGGGCTAAGGGGTTATGGGTTGAGGGCTTAGGGTTGAGGGTTGAGGGTTGAGGGTTTAGGGTTTAGGGTTTAGGGTTTAGGGGTTTAGGGTTGAGGGTTTAGGATTCCTGGTGCGCGAACGCAGGTCATTCAAGGCATGCAGCATGCCGTGCAGGAGGCACATGAGAAACATGAGGGCCAGGCGCGGTCTCTTGCTCTTTAGGGTTTAGGCGCTAGGGTCAGGGTTTAGGGTTTAGGGTTTAGGGTTTAGGGTTTAGGGTTTAGGGTTTAGGGTTTAGGGTTTAGGGTTTAGGGTTTAGGGTTTAGGGTTTAGGGTTTAGGGGCTAGGTTCTAAAGCAAGCAATGTTCTTGTGGCTGCTTTTGAGTTTCGAAGTATTAGCCGAGTTTCTGGAAGGATGAGGGCTCGTGGCCAGCTATAGGTCGGGTCACAAGTGCCTTAGACCAAGGGTTCTAACTTTGAACAAATCATAGTGCAAGATAGCCTCTACTTGTCGCCCGACTTATGACTATGCGCAAACCTCCCATAGATACGGAATTTGCAGAAAGTTGAACCTTCAACTCCCCCTAGACACCACCCAAAACTAGCCTAGGCCTTCGACCCTCCTAGCTAAATCCTCAACCCGAAAACTGCAAGCTCCGAAATCAGTCGGCTTACTTGAAGCCGGTTCTGCGAACGGATCCCTTTTTGCTCTAGGCAACCGGGGTATCAGCTAAACCCGAAACCCTAAACCCTAAACCTTAAACCCCAAACCCTCAAACCCCAAACCCCAAACCCCAAACCCCGAACCCCGAACCCCAAACCCCAAACACCAAACCCCAAAATTAAACCCTAAACCCTAAACCCTGTCCGAAGTCCTCAGCTCTAAGCACTCATGCCCTGGCGCGCCTTCGAATCCGGCCCCGGACGTGACTCCATTCTAACAGCCCTAAATCAGCCTAAATCCTTCAAGCACCTAGACCCCGAAAGCCTTAAATACTCGACCTCTAAACCCCTGAACCCTTAAATCCGCACAAAGCCTTGACCCAAAAACCCCTCAGCCCGAAACCCAAGTACGAATGACTTCGCACGATCCGTGGGATGCTGGCTATCTCGGTGCCCCCCCCCCCCCCCACGGAATGTATGGTTTGAGGGTTTGGCTGGGGTCTACAGGCTGACCGGCGTGCAAAGGTTGCTCTGATTGGAGTTTGTGCTTTTATCCCACCTTTAAGTAATCCCCACACATACTTGTATAAGACCTTTGCTTGAAGGTCTAAACCTAAACCATGAAGAACCTAAACCCTAAACCCTAACTCACGATCCATGATTTTACCAGCAAACAAGCGCTCCCCGTGCGTTGCGGCACGTCAGTCGTCCCAGCTGCATCCCAAGCAAAGCGTCGGAGCTTCGGCAGGCGGGGCTTGTGAGTGAGCTGCTGAAGCAGCTCACCGATCTTCCAGGCCCTTTCGCTTTGCCGAGTCAGTGCCTAAACCCTATAAATCTCGAACCCTAAGCAAGTGGGTGCATGCGGCCATGAAGACACGAACCAAACAAGAAGGCGAACACGAGGCGACCAAGAGGGGTTTAAGAGAGGCGGTGGGGGGGGGTTAGGGGGGGTTAGGGGGAGGTTAGGGGGAGGTTAGGGGGAGGTTAGGGGGAGGGGGAGGTTAGGGGAGGTTTATGGGGGGATTAGGGGTTAGGAGGGGTGGAAGGGGCCGGAAGTGGACAGTGGGCAGGGAAATAGAGGAAGGGAGGAGTAACAAAACAAACAATTGGCGGTGGGCTGCCTGCTTTATGCTACCATATGCTACCCAAACACGGCGGATCCGATTTCATTCCCCTCGTCATTGTATACTCTCCTGTTCAGTCTTTCTGGGCTTAGGGTTTTACTCTGGTCTCCTGGGGACCCAGAGTAGGCCCTTATTCCCTTTTTCAGGGTTTAGGTTCCCTTACAAAAAGAGAATCCTTTTTATTTCTGGGTTACTCTTGGGTCTAGTCTCTGTGGTGGGGGGCAAGGGGCCCGCTTCTAATGCCGGCGTCCCTCATTTTGGCAGGAACCGGCCACGTCATGAAGGAGGAGATCTCGCAAGTCCTTCGCAACGGCGAGCGCCACTGGGCTTTTCTTGCCTTCGTGTTCAGGGTGTTTCGGGTTTAGGGTTTTTGGGTTTAGTACCCCCTAGCCCTATCGTTGCGCATGGGTTCGTCAGTCGACTTTCGAGAAAAGTGGTTCATTGGGTAGTGGCAAGTATGGTTATACTCACCGTAAAAGAGGGTCTAGCTAGCCTACTTAAACCCCACTTCTAGCTACCCATGAACCTTCAAGTAAACCCTGAGGTTGCACCACAGAACTTGTTCGATCAGCGAATGGAACTGCTCCTGGCTCAGGGGCAGGCTGAGGGGTGTAGGGTCTCGGGTTGCTTTTTGGTTTTTGAGAGGGGGGGGGAGGGGGGGAGGCTGCAGAGGTTTGGTTTAGGGTTTAGGGTTGAGGGTTTATGGCTTAAGGTTTGTTCAGGGTTTAATTAGGGTTTAGGGAAGTTTGGAGGGAGAGTGCGGCCGTGGTGCGAATGGATCTGCTTGGATGATATTACATCCTGCTTGAGTTTTGGGTCTTAGGGGATTGGGGGGGGGGCTTAAAAGTTAACGACTTCGCGGTGCTTGAATTGTAGGGTTTAGGGTGTAAAGATTTTAGTATAAGGGGGAACATCCCAAGTTTAAGTTTCAGTCTTCGGGACCCTAAACCCTAATTCCTATCACACTTTCAAGCGCTACAAGTAGGATAGCCCTAGTCATGGCCTCATTTAGAGTAGGGATCTTAGGGTTGATCATTGTCCCGATGGGCAATCAGAGAGGGCCGCTATAAACCTGAGATCCTTCAAGCCCTAGTCCTGACACCCTAGGGTTTGGGTTTGGTTGGGTTCCCCCCCCCCCCCCCCCCCCTCTCCCCCCCCCACTCTGCCCCCTCTCTCCCTCCCCCCTCTCCCTCCCCCTCTCCCTCCCCCCCCCCCCCCCCTCCCCTACGCCCCCCCCACCCCCCACCAAGGTCATGGAGGAGACGACGTGGCTACTGACCAGCGAGGGCCGCAAGGTGAAAGAACCTTCGTGCCTTGCTCAGTTTCTTGGGTTTAGGGTTCAGGGTTAGGGTTTAGAGTTTAGGGTTTAGAGTTTAGGGTTTAGGGTTTGGGATTTTGGGTTCAGGGTTTTGTAGGGGTTGAGTGGGACAGGGATATTTGGCGCACCTGCCGAGGATGTCAGGCCATTGGGATCCTTAGGAATGTGGTGCCTTTGTTTTGCTGCATAACCCTGATAAACCCTAAACCCCAAACCCTTAACCCTAAACCCTAAACCCTAAACCCTAAACCCCATTAGTTAGTTGGGATGTGTTTCCAGGGTTTTGGGTTAGGGTTTGCTGCCAACACTTCCCACCCCCTGCATTTCCGTACCCTAGCCGCAGACCCTAAGACGCAGAGCTCTAAACCTTAAGAGCCTGAGGATCCGATACAAGTCCCAAAGCCGCAACAGCCCCGAGCGATTGAGTGCCGACTGTCGTGCTTGGAGAATCATGGGCAGTTATTGACGGGGTTATAAGCAGGGTAACGAATTATCTAGCTGGTTATACCCTTACTGAAGGTACTCATTAACTCTTCTCATAGATATCCAAATGAACCTTCAAGTAGCCCTAAACCCTAAACCCTAAACCCTAAACCCTAAACCCTAAACCCTAAACCCTAAACCCTAAACCCTAAACCCTAAACCCTAAACCCTAAACCCTAAACCCTAAACCCTAAACCCTAAACCCAAACCCCAAACCCCAAACCCAAAACCCCAAACCCTTCAGTGCCCAGGCCAGGCTATTGTTCCAAGAACAACCAGCGCCGTCTCGAGGCCTGGGGGGTTCATCCTAGGGCCTTGCTACTGCAGCTTGGGGCCCGAATTCCTAAACCCCACTTGCAACTGCAACCCCTATAGGGTTTAGGGTTTAGGGTTTAGGGTTTGGGGTTTAGGGTTTGGGGTTTAAAGCAGTCTCCCCCCGAAAGCATGGTAGCTGATCAGCGAATCGGGTATCCACAGAAACGCCCTGGGCTGCCCTCACCCAATCCTGCGACCAACAAGCTGGAACTTGTGCAGGGAAGTTGGCTGTGCCCCCAAACTCAAGCAGCATCAAGCAAGACACTAAACCCTGAGCCCCTTTCAACCCCTACTAAACCCTAAACCCTAAAACCCTAGACCCTAAAACCCTAAAACCTTTAAACCCTAAAACCCTAAACCCTAAACCCAAATCCCTCAGGCTGACATGTAAGCACATTGCGGCTCCGAGGAGGCGAGTGACTCCCGGCTCCGGGGGCGAAGTCTGCAGTCAAGCGGCTCGTCTTCAGGTTTGGGGGACTTGGGTTTTAGGGTTTAGGGTTTAGGGTTTAGGGTTTTTAGAGCTTGAGGCTTCAGTAGATTCTGAGCTTGGGGCTAGGGGGAGTACAAGGTGGGTATCAGGGGGGTATAAGGGAGTATAAGGCGGGTATAAGGGAGGTTAGAGTGGGGCTTCAGTCGATTTTGACGGATAGCGCTTGTGGGATCAGACATCAGGGGTCATGGCCTAGGGCTTGGGAATTAGGGTTTAGGGTTTAGGGTTTAGGGTTTAGGGTTTAGGGTTTAGGGTTTAGGGTTTAGGGTTTAGGGTTTAGAGTTTAGGGTTTAGGGTTTAGGGTTTAGAGGGTTTAGGCTTCAAAATGCCCTATGAGTCGTGGGTGCTCCGAGGCGCCGACAACACCTGGGTTCTCGGCGACATCTTCTTGCGAAGGCCAGACCCTTGGGTTAACTTTGTGGTATAGGGTTTAAGGTTTAGGGTGTAGGGTTTAGGGTTTAGGGTTACTTAAGGGTGAAGGGTTTAGGGTTTTGGTTCAGGAACATGGGGCTCATGGGGCCATGGTTTTTGTTAGGCCTCGAACTCCAAACCCTAGACCGCAAACCCCGCATGCCCACCCCAACCCGTCCAAAAACACAAAACCCTTAACGCGTAAAATAGGCTTTAGGGTTTAGGGTTTAGTAAGCCTAAAGCTCACTTTCTTGCAGGTGCACCTGAGGCTCCCAGAAGACGGTTTTAAATCCTTGCCTGCCAGAAATAATTTTGTTTTCGTGATTCTTAAGGCTAACGGTCAGCACACCCGAGGCACGTCGTCGCCTTCGACTTCGAAAACTCACGCCTGGGCTTCGCCTTGGAAGAGGCTCCGGAGCTTAGGATGAAGGTTCATGGGTAGTTACAAGTAGGGTAAAAAGTACCCTTAATCAGGTATCCAGTCGTAAGCAGTCATAACTATAGTTCCCCTACTTATAACCCCACTTCTATCTACCCAATTGAACCTCTACGTACGAGATGAAAGGAGCGTTAGGGTTCTCCGCGTCGGGGAGTTCAGGGACTGAAAGGGACGAGGGAATGAGGACTAAGGATTCAGGGCTTTGGATGGTTGTCGGAGGTTTCAGGATATGTCATTTGAGGATTGAGGGCCTTTGAAGGATTTTTTCCGGTGAGTTTTCAGGGGCATTTTGGAGGCATGGAGTGTAGGGTGCCTTGGGACAGAAGAGTCTTGCAGTCGCGTTTTCTTTTTTTTTATTTATTTATTTTTTTTTTTTTTTTTTGGGGGGGGGGGGGGTGGTTTTCAGTTTTCTTGCTCTCGAGAGGCACGAGCATGAACATCCACAACACCCGAAAGCCCCAAATCCTATAAACTCTATGGGTTGGGATGTTCCCCGTTATACTAGCAGCTCCTCAATAGGGATTACAATAGGGGTACTATAGTCCTTCTGAAGGACTGTTAGTATACGGGGGAACATCCCAGTCTATGGGTGCCTCATTACCCCCAAAAAACCCTCAAAACCCAACACCCTCAACCCTAAACCCTAAACCCTAAACCCTAAACCCGAAGGTTTCTGCGGAGGAGCTGGAAGCCCGTCCCGGCCCTGGGGGTTTTGGGGTTCATGAGGGGCCTTCTCGGAGGTTCCGAGGTAGGCCCTTGGGATATTCGATCTTTCTTCTTATTGGGTTTATAAGAAGATCATGCCCTGGAATCATTTTTCAGAGGGTTTTAGGGGCCGTCCTAAGGTTCTAAGTACCCCAATACTGGTTATTGATTGGCCAATATTGCCAGTGACCCCCCAAACCCCTAAACCCTAAACCCTAAACCCTAAACCCTAAACCCTAAACCCTAAACCCTAAACCCTAAACCCCTACATAGAACACAACTTACGACTACCCCTGAAGCGCCAAGTCGGCCTTATGCTCCACGCCTGGTTTCGGGCACAGTTCAGGGTTTAGGGTTTAGGGTTTAGGGTTTAGGGTTTAGGGTTTAGGGCTAGGGTTTAGGGGTTCTGGAGTTCAGGCTTTGGGTCGGTTTCAAGGCCGTGGGAACCTGGGACATGCAAGCAGAGTCCCCTATGTTTAGGGTTTAGGGTTTAGGGTTTAGGGTTTAGGGTTTAGGGTTTAGGGTTTAAGCGCCAGCGCAAAGCTCCGGACCCGAAACGAGTGGTGGCATGACTCCGACTCTTTCCTGCTCCCTTCCTCCCCTGCCTCCAACCGAAACCTGCAAAACGTCTGCGGCTCCTTCATGACTTGGCTTCGAAGGGGGCCCCAGCAAGACCGACCAAACAGCACTTTGATTTTTTTTGGGGGGCCCCTGCCAGTTTTTAAAACATCTTTGGAGGGAAGACCTCAGGCATAGTCATCGGGAGCCACGGTGAATCTCAAACGCCACGAAACAAACTGAAGGCTGATTCGTGAGTGGCCAGAGCGAGGGCGTTAGGGCGTTAGGGGTACGTGCACCTGAACTGCGTGGACGTTCATGGGTTCTCAGAAGTAGGGTTAGAAGAACCCTAAGCAAGGTTATAAGTACAGTTGCCCTACATATAACCCTACTTCTAGCTACCCACGAACCTCCAAGTAGGCTTACGAACACGGCTACCCTCTTAATCTTCACAAGCCTACTTATATGAAGTACCCATGGAGTTTTAGGGTTTAGGGTTTTGGGTTAGGGTTTAGGGTTTAGGGTTTAGGGTTTAGGGTTTAGAGTTTAGGGTTTAGGGTTTAGGGCTTAGGGCTTAGGGCTTAGGGTTTTGAGGGTGTAAGCACCCAGCCACCCAGGAGAGCAGGCTCTTCGGGAAGAAGCTCAAGGGCAGGGCTCCATAGAGGCGGGGCCTCCTGGGTTGGTTTAGGGTTTAGGGTTTAGGGTTTCGGGTTTCGGGTTTAGGGTTTAGGGTTTAGGGTTTAGGGTTAGGGTTTAGGGTTTAGGGTTTAGGGTTTATGGATGGCTTTGGGGTTTGTAGGCGATTCAGCTTGACTTGAAGTTGACATGAAGGGAGTTTAGTTTGGGTTAAGGGTTCAGGGTTTAGGGGTTCGGGAGTTCGTGGCCTTGGCGCCTTCGGTTTTAGGGCTTCAGAGCGTGAATGGGGCAGGAAGCCTGAAAGCTCATTGCTGATTGCCTGCTACTTGCTTAAGAACCTCCCCAAAACAATGGAGAATAACAATGCCTACATTACCCTTGTCATAAAGATAATTGTTCTTTGTTGGGGGTGGTTCTTGAGCAAGTAGCAGTTGCTGCTTCATCTCTCTTCCTCCCACAGGGCGCACCTTTGAAGCATGACACTAAACCCTAAACCCTAAACCCTAAACCCTAAACCCTAAACCCTAAACCCTAAACCCTAAACCCTAAACCCTAAACCCTAAACCCTAAACCCTAAACCCTAAACCTAAACCCTAAACCCTAAACCCTAAACCCTAAACCCTAAACCCTTTCCAGAGCCAGGCCATGGAGACCGATGGCAGCAGCCCACCACTGCAGCAGTTCAATCAGGCCCTTTTTTGGTTCGGGAGCCCTCAGCCCTAAACCCTAAACCCTAAACCCTAAACCCTAAACCCTAAACCCTAAACCCTAAACCCTAAACCTTTTGGGGTGGACGTCGGATGGACTCCCAGTCCCTGAGCGCTAAGAGTCCGAAAAGACCCTGTGGCGCTGTTTACCTGCAGCTTAGGGTTGAGAGACGATCGTTCGTTCATTTGGGTCGCTGCCCTTCTTTCTTGGGCGCGTGCAGCCCCTCGACCCCGGAGCATTTTTTGCGAATCCTTGTTGAATAGGACGTAGGGTCCAGGGCTTCGGCAACCTGGAAGCACAAACCAGTTCCTCAGGCAGGGCTTTACTTTCTCAGTTGGGCTTACAGAGCCAAGCCAGGGAGCCCGCAATGAAGAACCCTTTAGAAGCTTCCCTATGAATGCTTCAAATCCCTGCAACGCCCTAGAATTCAACCACCCCAACAAGCCCTGTAAGCCATAGAAGCCACAGAAGCCTGGGAACAGAAGCCGCATGAGTCCATCAAGCCCTGTGAAAAGCCCTGTATGAGTTACGAGCCCTGCAAGCCCTATGAGCCCTACAAACCCTACTGTAAGGGCCCTACAAGCCCTAAAGGCTCCAAGCCCTAAGAGCCCTATGAGAAGCCTTGCATGAGCCCTACAAGCCCTACCCTACAAGCCCGAAGAGCCCGATTAGAAGCCCTATGTGTTCCCTACAAGCCCTAGGAGCCCTATGTGAAGCCCTACATACACCCTACAAGCCCTATGAGCCCTATAAACCCTATAATAAACCCCAAAAACCCTATAATAAACCCTACAAAAACCCCTACAATAAACCCTATAATAAACCCCCAAAAACCCTAAAAACCCCGACGAGCCCTGATCCGAAGGACGGCGAGGACCCGGCAAGTGCCAGAGCCCAGGCCTGAGTCACCGCAGGTCTGGGCTACAGGTCGGCGCGCTGCATCCTTGAAAGCTACCTGGGAGGGTTTAGGGTTTGGGGTTTGGGGTTTAGGGGTTAGGGGTTAGGGGTTAGGGGTTAGGGTTTCGGGTTTTGGGTTTGGGGTTTAGCGTTTGGGGTTTGTTTAGGGTGTAGGGGTTAGGGGTTAGGGTTTCGGGTTTGGGGTTAGGGGTTTGGGGTTTGGGGTAACCCTCAACCCTAAACAATAAGGGTTTAGCGCTGCAATGAAAGAACGCTGAGAGGAACCTTGACGCTGGTGTTGTTTTTTTTGCAGGTTCCGCCGATCAGGGAACATAGAAGGCTAGACTTATGAACCCCCTAAGCCCTGAACCCTACACCCTATGGTGCTCTTCTGGCGATTTAGGGCTTTTCAGGTTTACAGGTGGACTTCGGGCTTCTTGGCCTTGGACCCTGTATATTCCCGGGCTTCTTAGGGGTTTGGGGTTTAGGGCTTAGGGTTGAGGGTACATTACATATTCTTCCTTATAAAGGGCAAAAAAGGTTTTATTATCATTATTATTATTATATATGTGTATATTCTTTTGGGGTTCTTAAAAGCAAATGGTAGATTAGCCCGTCCTGGAGAATCACGGAGCTCGACCTCTACTTCACGGGGGCTGCCTTGCAACAACGGGCCTCTGGTTCACGAGATTATCAAGTGTGTACAGTAGCTCAAGGCCCTGAGAAGCCTTAACTTATACCTCCAACCGGGAGTCCTCCTGCACACCTCCAAAAGTATACTTCAGAGATTGTTGACTTCACCTTAAACCCCAAGCTCTAGACCCTAACCTCTACACCCAACACCCGAGACCCTCTGCGCATTCTGCCTTTTCACCGAGGAGTGGGAGCGTGCACAAGCAGCCGCCCAGGCCTGAAGACCTTTCAAGAACCCAGGTGAGGGTTTAGAAACCCTAAACCGGAAACCTCACATGCCAAACCCTGAACCCTAAACCATTAGGGTTCAGGGTGAAGACTCCTAAATTCGTATTTTGTAGCCCGGACCGCTTTATAGTTTGTGTTCAATGTTTCATTGCAGGTGCTTCTTTCGGAGCCCCAAAGCCTTAAACCCGTGAAACCCTAAGAGGAGTATCATATTTCTGGTCAGGACTCCACAAAATTTTCACCGGCGGAATCCAGAGGCTTTCAGTTTCTTCAAGTTTCTTCGGAAGTGAACTTGGCTTGTTTTCATTCCCTAGACCAAAACCCTAAACCCTAAAAGCTCAGAGCCCTTCAACGCACCAAAGCTTGTCGTGCCAGGTTCGGCTCATCTTTTAGGGGCTTAGGGCCGCAGTTGGCCCGTGCAGGGTTTCGGGTTTTGGGCTTGAGGGTTTAGGGTTTAGGGTGTAGGCGGTTCTGCCTGAAAGGCATGGCTTAGGCTCGGGAAATGTGATGCCGTGGGTTCAATCAAGAATCGTAGGGTGGAGGACTCATGAGGTTTATGCCGATGCGCACTGCAAAGAGTTGACACCCTGCAGAGAGTAGTGTGGTCTACGTAAGGTCTTGTAGGGTAATCTACTTGGAGGTTCATGGTACTTCTTACTCAATTATAGCTGTACTTATAACTGCACTTATAACCATATTAGGACACGTAAGGGGCTTATAAGTGGGTTATAAGTACGGTTATAATTGGTTAATAAGTACCCTGAACCCTAAACCCAAAACTCTAAACCCTAAACCCTAAACCCTACACCCTAAACCGTAAACCCTAAACCTGCAAGTAGTTAAATGCCTACACCAAGAGCTCGAAGTCGCCCCTGCAGGCTCTGGTGAACAAGGCCCACGGGCCCCCGGTGATCTACGACGAGGACACCACCTTGTTCGCTGGAGGTTTAGGGTTTAGGGTTTAGGGTTTAGGGTTTAGGGTTCCGGGGCTGCAGGGGGCTTGATGGTGCACGTTTTGGGGCTCAGGGTTCTTACCCCTCAAGTAGGACACGACGTTTCAGCGCGAATGCAGTTTTCTTCCATGCTATTCAAGTATCCTTTTGGGACATTCAGCAAGAACCATTTTATGATCAAACACAAGGCATTTCGTCACATACGTTCCAAAATTCAACTAGCGAATCAGAACTTGAATGTAAGCCCCTAACCCTGCACCCTAAACCCTAGACTCAAGCCGGACACCCTAAGCCCTGGACTGTGAACCCTAAGCCTCCTGTACCTATATGTTTAGGGTTTAGGGCTAGGATTTAGGGTTTGGGGTCTAGGGTTTACGGTTTAGGGTGTCGGGCTTAGGGTTTAAGGCTTCGGGTTTGGGATGCGGACTTGGCGAGGAGCTCTCTGGCAGCGGCACCAGCAATGGCATGAAGACTGTGCGCGCTGTCAGCATTGGACCTCCTCGAAGCCCTGAACCCGTCCTCTTCAGGCTATCACCACAACCCTGGAAAGGTTTTCGACACGCGCATGTCCACTGCCCTCCCCCCCCCCCCCAACTCCTTTTCGCTTTCTTCCTGGGCCGTTGACCGGCATGGTCGTACGGGACATGGTGCGCTGCTTGTTGCGTGCACTATCGGTTTCCTGTACATTCCGACCTTTAACACGCACGCACATGTGTGTATCAGGAAAGTGTTCACGACTGAGGCTGGTAGCTACGGCCTTGGTCATGGGCCCGGGCCTTGGTTATTGTCGGGGTCGGAATGATTCCGAACAGTACTCCCTTAAGGTCCCCATTCTGAATATGCGAGAATAACCCCCCCCCCCCCGAAACCCTATTCAAATTATGAAGGCCCCATATTATATGCTGGTGTGGCTACAGCCAGCCGAGCCACCCTAACCCGAGACACAAAAACCCTCTTAGGCATTTGCAGCCCAAGATGTGCATGAAGCCTGTGAGTTGCTGAGTTCCGAGATGGGGGGGGGGGGAGGTTCAGGGTTTAGAGTTTAGGGTTTCGGGTTTCGGGTTTCGGGTTTATAGGGCTAGGGGCCTATAGGATGACTTGGCATGAAGTCTGAAGTGGAGCCGCAGATGACACTGGCACCTTGGAGGCTTGTGCAGCCAGTGGCTGTCGACACCAGAAGCTTGACAGCTGGTGCTCTCTTCTAGCCCACGAGTCTTGAGTCCGAAAACCGTATACCATGAAGTATAGGACAAGCTATAGAGACCGGCCGTGGACGAGCTTATCTGGTTCCGAACCCTGGAGAAACCCCAAACCCAACAAAGCCCAATAAAGGCGTTGGCGCCTTCTGCGGACTCTTCTCGAGCTCCCGCGGTGGTTTGTTGGAAGAGACGAGGCATCTTCAGGGAGGGCTCCGGGCTCTATTTGGGGGCCTTAGCGTTTCAAAGGTTTCCAGGCTTTTGTTCACGGCTCAGCATTTTTAGGATTAAAGGTTTCGGGCTTAGGGCTTTCTGTTCTTATGGGTCGTAGACTCCCTTATGAGATCTCAGTCTGTAAAGATGGACCTCGAGTCAGGACGATTAGCGCTGGGATTCTCTTAACTCCCCCTCTTGGGGTGTGAGGATAAGGATGTTCCCAGCTGTTGGGAGTTTAAACCTTAAACACTAAACCCGAAACCCTAAACCCTAAACCCTAAACCCCAAACCCCAAACCCTAAACCCGAATATCTACCCATGAACCTCTCTAGGTAAAATCCCAATTCAGGAGCCCGGCCTTCGCCCAGCACCTGCATCACCACGAAGGCCGGCACTGCAGCCAAGGTCCTAGAAACCCTACAGCATTGTTTAGGGTTCAGGGTTTAGGGGTTTAGGGGTTTAGGGGTTTAGGGGTTTAGGGGTTTAGGGGGTTTAGGGGTTTAGGGGGTTAGGGGTTTAGGGGGTTAGGGGTTTAGGGGGTTAGGGGTTTAGGGTTTAATTAGGGGGTTTAGGGTTTTGGGGGTTCAGGCTCTGGCTTTGAGTGAAGAGCTTCCCGCTGATGAGCCGCTTAGCGATACAAAGTTCGAAGGGGCGTGCATCCCAGCGCGGTTAATGGCCTGAGGGTTTCGAGAAACCAAAAACTTAACCCCCTAAGCCCTAAACCCTATAAACCCAAGACCTCTAGGCACCAATTTCAGCACCCCATAGATAAATACCCATGTCATGCAATGTAGCTATTGCCCTGAGCCCTCCAAAACCCCAAGCCTTACAAACCCTTAAGGTTTCGGGTTAGGGACCCCAAGCCCAAAACCACCGTCGAAAAGCCACAGGCGATGGTGGCGAGCCGCGTCTGGAGGCGGCTGAGTGACCCACAGGCACAGGACTCGCAAAGAAAAGCGCTGAAGAGCTTGGGTTTGGGGTGTTCAGGACTTAAGGTTTTGAATATAGGGAGGACATATGTACACGTTGTAAATGATCTATTTGCATGTGTTATACTATACTATACTATACTATACATAAATCTATCTATCTATCTATCTATCTATCTATCTATCTATCTATACATATATACATATATATATATATATACATGTATGTGTGTATGTGAATATGTAATACGTTACACAAAGGTGCCTCGCCGGGGTTCTGGTCTACAAATGGGTTCGTTTTGTTGCTGCTTGGGGCGGCGGGGGGCCGGGGGGGGGGGGGAGGGGGGGGCCGACAGAGTCAGAGTTCAGGGGCAGGGCTATAAACCCTACACTGTCAACCGGGAACCCTCAGAAAGCCATCAGCTTCCGAACCTCCAAACCCCGACTCAAACTGAGGGTTCAGAGGTCGGGGAAACTCCTCCAAGAAGGTCAGCTAACCTTCGGCTGCGGTTGAGTACAAGATTGTTAGACGCGCTGGGCTTGGGAATTCTAAGATTGGGCTCATGCATACCGGGCAGTCGGCATCTTGCGGCATATCAGGATCAGGAATCAAGGCTCCTTCAAGATCGGGTCCCCAACAATTCAGTGGTTTAGGCGCCGTTCTCTTGTGCTGCGACTCATACGAGAAGGGTTCAGGGCCCAAAAAGAGTTATGGGTTCAGGACTTATTCCCTTTGAGGGTTTGGGTTCCCTTATAAGGCACGTTCAACCAAATAGGGCACTCTTCTTACTCCTAGCTTACTCTTCGGGGTCTAGAAGGGTTCATAAGGCTGAACAAGCACTTTGGGTGTGCCGAGGTCGCTCATTGGAAACCGGTTTTTGCGGTTTGGGTTCAGGGCCTCCCTGTACTCCCCCTACTTGAAGGTTCATGGGGCAGTTATAAGTAGGGTTATAAGTCATAAGTACCCTAAATCGCCAGTTCTAATTTGAGTTACCCGACTTAAATTCTGACTTATACTTAGCCACCCGTGAACATCCTCGTAGCCCCCTGCCATCCCAGTCCTCACTTTTAAGCTTCGGGTTCTCTCTGTCCCTCGAACCCCTGGTTTGCCCTGATCCTAAGAATCGTTATTTGAACTCGGGTTTAGGGGATTAGAGTTTAGGGCAACCCTGCAAAACCAGCCCAGCCCCCCTCCCCCCCCCTTCCCCCCCCCTGCAGATCAGGCGATGCTTTTCTCAGCCAAAGCCGCTGCTGAGCCGGGCCACAGACGGCCTGCTGAGTCGGAGGACAGCGCATGCAGATAGCGCAGAGCCGCAGAGATGTCGCAGTCTTATGGCTTGGGGTCTATAGGCCCCAGGACTTGCGATTCAATGTTATGTGTACACACTCGTAATTTGTTGTAAAAGAATGAGTAGATGTCAACAGGTTCCATATACGCCACTGGGTCTTCATTGCCCTCTCCAGCCGTGGCAGTGTTTGTGACATGAAATTGCGGCTGTTCCTTAAGCTCTCAGTCAGAGTGGCCTTAGTGCTAATGAGCTTGCTTTCCATTCAGTTCTACGGGTAGTTACGTGGGCCCTGTAAATATGGTCCCTTGCCTCCCTTACAGGGTTCTGACATACTTGGCGAATACTGGGCCCTTGGGTTTTATAGAGTATATATAGGATATATACCAAAGGACCATGTAACTAGCCTAACATCAGTGCAAGGGGTTTAGCAGCTATGTGTGCTTGAGCCCGCCTTCTTCAGCTCTTCTTGCATGTTTCTGCGGGCTCCTGAGAGAACTGAGTCCGGGGTTCTCAAACATGTGAGTCAACCTTAAACCTCCAAACCTTCCTAGTTCATTGCAGCGCATCCTATTTCAGAAGGTTCCTGGTGATTTTGCCTCAAGGGCTGCTGCCCGAAACCTACAAACCTTCCTCACATCCTATTTCAGAAGGTTATTGGTTATTTTGCCTAAAGGGCTGCTGCACACAGAGCCTTAGAAAGTCCCCAGTGAATCGCACGGTCTCGCAAGCGCTGCAAGTAGCTGCGGAAATTGAAGCAGGGGCCTGTGCGTTGAAGGAGTCTGTTCATGCACAAGTAGATTTCAAAGCTTTGGGCCTTGGGGGGGTTGGGGGGGGGTTAAGAACACAGGATTCCAGGGTTCCCCCAACGGCCAGGAACATGTTACCAAAGCAACCTCCCCAAAGGGGTATGATCTTTCAGCCCGTTCACCTACTTAGGTTTTAGTTTATATCTAGGTTTGGGGTATTCAGGTTGCATTCCACCACTTTAAGCCACATTCACATCCTTCGATGTTCAGGGCCCCTGTCTTCTCACGCTTCGGAGTCGCGCGTAGTATGTGAGATTTGCCTGCAAAGACACGCACAGTCACAGCCAACATGGGTGGACAACAAATTGACATGAGCTTGTGAGCTTGGGGCGCCAGAGCCTTCACAATTAACCCTTAAACCCTAAACCCATTCTAAGGGGTTTTAGAATGGGGTCTTTGGGCCCAGCAGCCCAGACATATGACCCCCAAACCCTAAATCCCTAAATACGTAGAAGGCAGAGCCGTAGGCACCCTCCTAAGGATCCGAAACCTCCAAAATCGAAGTCCAGGTTTATGGGGTGTACCCTAAACACTAAACCCTAAACCCTAAACCCCAAACCCGAAACCCTAAACCCTAAACCCTAAACCCTAAACCCTAAACCCTAAACCCTATGCTGGGGCTGAAGGCTCCATAGCAGCTCTCGGACCTCCCGGGCTTGATTGAGTTGGCACTTCCAACTGGATTTAGGGTTTAGGGTTTAGGGTTTAGGGTTTAGGGTTTAGGGTTTAGGGTTTAGCCAACCATTCACGAAAAAACGAACACCAGGGACCACTCACCAGCCCCTTCACGAAAAATACTCTCGCCCACCCACCCTACCCCGGCCGGACACCACCCACCAACCCCTAACACGCAAAGACTGCTTGCCCGCCCGAGGCCCGCAGAATCACCCACCCCTCCAGAGATCACCCACTAACCCTTTCACGTAAAAAGCGCTTGCCCGCCCAAGGCCACCAACCAACCCACCAACCAACCCACCAACCAACCCACCAACCAAGGTGGAACAGAGAACCTGGAATAAACAACTTGCCAAGGATTATAAGGTTTAGGGTCTTCGCGTACAGGCTTCTGGTTCAGAAGTTCAGGGTATAGGGTTCAGGCTTATATGTAGGGTACCTTAGGTTGTCATTGGCTATTTAAAAAGATGGGTACTCACAATCCTGCTTATTCCTACCTATGGATCCTCACAAGCAACCTTTCAGGGAACAGGCCTTTTACATTCTCTCAGGTCTGTTTGCATGCCCAGTCCCAGAGTCATGCACTGCTCGAATCTAGCCTCATGCTCTCACTGCGATTGGGTCTTACCTGGGTCTTACCCAAACGCAGACATCCCTGAACTCGGAATGTGCCGCGTTTTGACTTCCATGTTTAGGAGTCAGGGTTTTATTGCGTTTATGGCTTATGGTGCCGGAAGCACAGCCCGTTGCAGTTGATCTCCATATACCCTAAACCCTAAACCCTAAAAGTCGATCCTGACGAAAGAGCGGGACTTATCATTCATGGCTCCGCGGGGCTGGCGAAGAGGCCTCGCTTTCGAGGGCTTCATGACTTTGAGAGGGCTCAGGCAGTTTGGGGTTTAGGGTTTCGGGGTCAGGGTTCTGGGTTGCTTCGCCTCAATATCTCCTAGCTCCCATAGCAAGACGTGAGTCATGAAGTCACCCCACAGACTCTACGCCCCCCCCCCCCCCCCCCCCCCCCCCCCCCCCCCCAACCGTCCCCCAAAACTCTGAACTCCAATCCCAACTGGATGGACGAGCTCAGTTGAAGGTGTTATTTATGCGTGTATTTCCTGATGTGAGGATTGGGTAAGGACTTTTTGGTGGTTGCTAGCTTCGGATCTAGGGTATAATATGTGTAGTGATGGAACAGGCTACGCGGCTTCAGGTTTCCACACGCTTTAATCTAGTCTTTTGGAGTTATGTCTCATATTTACCTCTGTGAAATGGTCAAGGCTCTGTAAGCAATAAGAAAGACAAACATCCGTAAGTACATGTGATTATATATATATATATATATGTAGATTTCCGAGGGGAGCATGATAAAACCTAAGCCAAATACATGCCGCGGCCAGGCAGGGGTTTAGAACCTTACCAGCTGGTGGCCACAGGTCCCCAAGCCCCTAGACGAATTCTAGAACACATCCCCGACCCTACCTTAGCCCTCACAGGGTAGGATCGGGGGGTCAGGGTTTAGGGTTCAGGCTTCTGAAAGCTTAAGCCCGAAATCTTCAGGGTTATGGTGCACTCCGGGGTGACGAGCACAAGATGCCAGGGGCACCGATGCAAGTCGGCCACAAAGTTCTGGCGACTACTTGCCTCCTATGCGTGCCCGGGCGGCGTGGAGTGTTTCCACCTTCAGGGCTTCAGTATGACAGGTCAGGAGTCAGGTTCCAAAAGAAGCTCGAAACCGCAAAAAATCGCGCAACCGCCAAGAGCAGCTTGCAGCTCAAGAGCCCCCGTCGTACCCCGGAGCCTAGCACAGGGTTCTTGAAAGCAGGGGTACCTTTTTTGTGGCTCCTAAACTAAGGGTTATATAGTATTTTGAGGGGTATTATGGGGGCGGCGGGAGGGGGGTAGGGGCTAGTGGCGGCTAGTGTTTGGGAATACCCATACAGGGGCTTACTGTCATGCTCATGGTTGACATTTACGAAGGCTCCTGTATTGCCTACTTAAGTTCATCCCCCACTACTCTTCATCACTAAGCTAGGGTTTGGGCTTGGGGTTTAATTCGGGCCTTTGAGGGTCCTAAACCCGATTTCAGTAGGCCAGTGACGTCGCAGCTCGAACGTGAACATGCAAAAGAAGCACAGGGTCCCTGTAGATGTGCGGATGCTGTTGGCAAGACCCTAAACAGAAAGACCTTTGACAGTGTTGCGCACATCGAAAACTAAACAAGAAGTCAAAGGC